CATCCTGCCTATTTCTGGCGTGAAGAAGTAACGCGTTTTGGTTTGATAAGTGGTACAGCAGGTGTACTATAAAACTGAGACTTAGAATTTGTCTCAAGGTGGGTGGTGGCATTTACGTTGTTGATTTATATGGGTTCCGATAGCCACTTAATACCAGATGGGTATGACCTGGTCTAACCAAAATGAAAACTGAATTAACGGAAATTTTACCAATTGGAAATTTAATTTTAATATTATTGTGCAGGCAAGAGCTAGTGGGTTCCGGAGGCTATTTTGCGAGGAATGTCACTGTGACAACTCCAGGTGGAAAACAACTACAAGCTAGAACATACCAAGAGACTGTAGATCCTCCTAAGTTGAAAGAGGGTGAATTATTGCCGGAGGACAGACGACCTTCTAACACCTATTTAGGGGTAACCTTAATTTTATTTCGTTTAGATTCCGGAATAAGTTCGATGATTCCACAGTATACCTATAATACATACATAAATATAGGTTATATAGACATAGATAAATATAGATATATTTTGGAAAATTCTAGGTGAAGGATAAAGATGGAAGTCTAATTTTAATATTCCGATCACTGAGAGGATTAAAACAGAACCTAGGATCACTTTGCAGTTTGACACTTACTACTATTTATCTCAGTAACGGGTAGAGGTATCAAGTAGAAATTAGAATAAATACAAAGGTATACAGCGGTTTTCAGTCAAGCGATGATAAGCCATATTTGGTCATTCATGACATGGCGTAGGAAACTTCCCATTAACTTTTAATCATGAAATTTAGTATGNTGAGAGGATTAAAACAGAACCTAGGATCACTTTGCAGTTTGACACTTACTACTATTTATCTCAGTAACGGGTAGAGGTATCAAGTAGAAATTAGAATAAATACAAAGGTATACAGCGGTTTTCAGTCAAGCGATGATAAGCCATATTTGGTCATTCATGACATGGCGTAGGAAACTTCCCATTAACTTTTAATCATGAAATTTAGTATGAAGAACGGTTAGAACTAAAGAAAAATCTGAATATATTAAAAAAAAGATTTTTATATTTGACGCTTAAGTTTTTTATGATTTTCGAACTTCGTGAGCAGGTAAATTGATAATTAGTGGAACGAAGAATTAAAAAATCGAAGAATGAAATTTATTTGATCGCAGAATTCTGGTTATCATTATCCTTCCATTGTAATTTTGATGTTGTTTCTGGTCGTCCAAATGTACAAAAACATGGAAAATATTCCATTGAAATATATCTGAAAATATTTTTAAATTATTTAACACTTAAGTTTCTTTGTTGAGTCCTGTGTGTTTAGTTTCAGTAAATTAAGTTAAGATGTTAACATTGTCGTCTGTACATTTGCATTATTATTAAGCATGGCCACGAAACAAAAAAAATGTTTTTTTTTCATATTTCAGGTCATAATTCTTGGCGCTTTTGAATCAAACCTCCCATCGGAATACATTGGAAAGCTATTTAATTTCGTAACTAACGGTAATACAGCTTCAAAGCCGATATTGGAGCAACTTGGCTACCCTTTTAATGTTAAACACCCACAAGTATAATAAATAAATGTAATACTTACATATGTTATTCGTTATTTTATTCATTAGGTATAGAAAAAGGGAACTAGTTCAATGCATGTACCTGAACCCCCTTATTTAAAATTAATGGATCTAATTGTGTTTAATTATGAAATTGATATAGGCGTGTAAATATTATTGTAACTTTTAATTAACCTGTTTTTCAGTCTAAGTTGCATTGAGCATAAATATATGGCAATGTGTGGTTAACAAGAGTTTTAGAGGTAGATTTTTTGTTTTTATTAGTTCCAACAAATGTAGCGAAATGTAGTTGAAAGCCAGGTTTTATTTTAAAAATTAACTGTATGCGACGTGAAAAGGGATTGGGTGCAGTATTATTCCACAAGGACTCGAACATAGAACAACCAATTGCTTTTGCTTCAAGTAAACTACGACCAGCGGAAATGAAATATTCCGTTATTGACCGTAAAGCTTTAGCAATAGTATTTGGTATTAAAAAAAATTATTAGTACTTGAGAGGAACGAAATTTAATCTAGTTATTTACATCTTATGAATTTAAAGAATATTGCATAAAACAGTCTATTTTATATGTTACATCATCTCCATATCATCCTCGGACAAATGGGCTGGCAGAACGCTTAGTCAGAGCATTCAAAATCAGAATGGCATCGGTAGACAACACAAATCTCAACCGCGGACTATTAGAATTTTTGTTTAAATACAGAAGCACTCCGCACTCGTCCACTGGTAAATCTCCAGCTGAAATGATGTTTGGACGAAAATTGAATTGCATACTTTCCAACATTCGGCCAGACAAAAGAAGATTAATGCATTATTTACAAGTAAAAGAAAATATTCGTATCACATCACTGAGTTACCGACCAAGTGACCAAGTATATATTAAAACACGCAATGATAAAATATGGGAACCAGCGGTAATTACATCCCGAAAACATAAATATTCATATATTGTTTCAACACCAGGAGGACTAGAAAAACGAAGACACGCTGATCACATCAGGCCACGCGAGTCCTCCACCTCAGAAACCCCGAGGAATGAAAGGGCGCATTCTTCTATGCTCCCGGCGACTGCTTCTCCAGACATTGGAATGGAAACAACAATTAACGAAAGGCTACAAGAATTCGGCAGCAGTACCAATACCTACACCGCAGTTGCCTACAAATGTACAAATTTCTCCAAATTCACCTTCACAGCATTCTAAGTTATACTCCTCACCTGCTCCGGTCTCCACTCCTGTGCCATTTGCTCCGCTTCGCAGTAATCGACGTATACAGAAGCCCGCTGTCTAACTCTCTAAATGAGATGTAGATGGGGAGGAATGTTGTAACCTTCCTTTCCATATTCCATTATTTGAAATATACTTCGAACACATTGTCATTTTACCACCTATCATTATTATATTTTATGCTATGTCTTGAAAACCTTGTTTTATTATAGAGACAGATGTCGAACGCTGCAGAACGCGCCGATTGTGCCTCTTTGTCGCTCGTTACGCGCTCTCGCTTGCACTTGAAGCCTTAAATGGAACACCTCAATGAGTCATGTTTTTTCGTGCGTGCAGCCGGCTCCATCGAATTATAAGACGTTGTCACGTCAAAAAACTGTCAGCTCTGTAGGTAGGTACTATGGAGGGTAGAGGTAAGGAGAACCGTCTCTATGTGTAAAAAGTGGTAGTTTTCCAATTACAGCAACGTTGAATGTTCCAACTACAGCAACGCTAATGCGTAGCTGCGTACATAACGCGTAGCTCTGTAATTGGAAAACTACCTTTGTCCGTTAAAATCTGTTAAATAAGGGTGGCGCTACAGTAGCAACCGGGTAAAAAAGGCGCTGAAAGTTATTAGAATAAGATAGAAAAATAAAAAAGGACGAAAGAACTGTAAACACTACAAAATCACAAAAGTATTTTATTTAAAGCTGATAAGAAAATGCAATCGATGTCTCCACGTTTTACCACAGAAAGAATTTTAGGTTATATTGACGAAATTAGTTTGGAATGTCACTAACTACTCTAGTCATTAAATATATTAAATTTCCTAACTCAGGACACTTCAATCAGTTAACAACTGCTCAATTCATATCATACCCTGTGGTTAAGCTAGTGCCATTCTGGAGGATTTTTGAACTGTTATTTAATGCTGAAAGTGGGACACTTTTTCAAGCTTCTCCCATATGAAACGGTTCTTTTAACCTCTACCATTCATAGTATGTACTTAGGAGTAGTAGTAGTTATATTTTTCCAAATGAAAAGGCAAATGTACCACACCATACAGCCTAATCTTTTTTAAATATATATGTATATTTATGAAATATGATATTATGGAATGAAATGAAGCTGATTAATTTAATATGAAACATGGCATGGTATGAAATGAATTGAAATCAGATGAGATGATATGATATGGGATATTTTTATGAAAAATTATAATATGGAGTGAAATGCATGAAGAATTTGAGACATTAATCAACTGGGATGAAATTAAATGAAATGAGATGAGATGATATGGGATGAAATATAATCTCAGTAAAATGGTGGTCGTTTACTGACATTTTTAGTGGACTTTTTGGAGGATCTCGAGAAGTTACGTCCAACGGCTTTGTTTCATTTTCCCACATTTTTGCACTTTCACAGATATTAAAAAGTTAATAAACCACCGTTATTACACATTTAAACCTGAAGAAACACTAAACAGACAAAATAAAACCAATCGCACAACTTTACACCTCGCGTTCCCTCCAAAAAGTCCCACCGTAGAGCCAGGTTTGTTTCCTTTTTTTAAGGGATTATATGACCTGGTATACAAGACCTTTAGGTGAAGTCATATTTTAATTTATATTCTTATTTTTATGAAAAATGAAATTATGGGGTCAAATTAAATGAAATGAGATGATATGGGATGAAATATAATCTTAGTAACATAGTGGTCATTTACGGAGACTTTTTCAGTGGACTTTTAGTACGATCCTGAGAAGTTACGTCCAGCGGCTTTGTTTTATTTTCTCATATTGTGCACTTTTACATATGCTAAATAGTTAATAAATCAACTTGTTGCATATATAAACCCGAAGAAACACTAAGTAGACAAATTAAAACAAATCACATAAATTCACTCCTCGCGTTCCCGCCAAAAAGTCCGCTTCGATTCCATAAAAGTTATGGTCATAGATTGGACACAGTAGAATAATCATATTTCGTTAAAATTATTACACATATGGTACGGTACCACATACCTTCATCTAAAGATTTAAGTTTTTCGTTGTAATAAAACTATATAAATATAAAATCTTATTAGGGCAGTGGTGTGCCTATTTTGTGTTATGATCTGATAGAAGTGATGTTTTTGATGATATGATTTAGTAGAAAGAGTAACAGCTTACTTAGGATACTTAAATTAAAAAATGCCTCATTATTTACTNCACATATGGTACGGTACCACATACCTTCATCTAAAGATTTAAGTTTTTCGTTGTAATAAAACTATATAAATATAAAATCTTATTAGGGCAGTGGTGTGCCTATTTTGTGTTATGATCTGATAGAAGTGATGTTTTTGATGATATGATTTAGTAGAAAGAGTAACAGCTTACTTAGGATACTTAAATTAAAAAATGCCTCATTATTTACTAAGATTAATAATATATTGTATCCATAACTATTCGTGATAGTGGAGTTAAGGCGGTAACAATTATTAATATACAGTTTATGTTTATGTTTTACATGTTTTATTTGAATATATTTCATTGGTGAAGCATGCAATTAATATTGCATTATGTCGATGAATTACATGTTCGGAATATCGGTCTTTCTGCTTTGTTTAGTCCTACTCAATATTTACTTCTTCTACAATCTTAGTACGACCAAACCTACACCTTTAATTCAATCACGGAAAGCAGAAGCTATGCAAAATGTCCATAAAGAAATTAATGATCATTTCGCACACTTAAAAAAACAGTACAAGATTAAAACATCTAAATTTACACCTGTACAACAAGCTCTAATTGCATCTTTCAATTCCACCATTACTGAATTAGAAAATATTTGGAATACTGTGGATAATGTAAGTATTTTTTTTTTCATGTCAAGTTATTTCCTAGCCATTATCAATAAATAAACGACTCTGACGATTCATGAGGTAACTTGATTATTTTTTAGACAGCGAAGTACTAAACTCATTAGTAAAATGACAAAATGAGAGATAAAAAAAATAAAGATATAAAACAACATTATTTTCAGATATGGCAGCTGAAAGTTTAACAAGACTTATTGATACTTTAAATTGACATCTCCCTGGTGTCAGGCTAAATCAACATTAATGCCTATTCTTAACAGTTCAAATGTAAAGAGATGTAATTTTTGAGACTTCTGTGGTATCATGTCATATCAAAGCAACGGTGCACAAAACACTCATGCTTCGTTTGTTTGATTTGATTCAGTCATCATGATTTCGTGAAAATTTATCTCGCCATCAATATTACTAATTTGCCTAAATAAAGTCTTGTAGTAATAATAAATATGTTGCATATTTATACTTAATAGACATTTCACATAATATGCAATATTTATCTTTGCAATGACAGGTCTGTTTTGTTTGGTACTAGTTAATGTTTTTAAATAAACTTCAATTAGGTTTACTCCATTCAAATAGCTAAGGAAATTTTTATTATGATATTTTATTCAAATTTTAATCTTTAAAGGGCTCTCGTGTAAAGTTGGAAAACAATTCTGGTCTGAACCCAAACTTAGTATTGTGCAATTTTATTTATTGAGCCAAACGATTACCTTGCAAACCATCAAGCAGTTTTGCAATGAATAGTAATAAGTACTGATGCCAGTGAATAGTAATAAGAAATATGTATATTTTTTTTAATAAGCAAACTAGGAAATATATTTTAGTAAACACATTGTTTATTTTGTTTCAGTGGGTTGATAATGAATCTCTGTTTCCTGATAAAAATGGAGATCCTGGAAGAATACTTCATGCAATAAAATCTTCACCGATAGCACTAGTAGATAATGCACCAAAGGGGACACAATTGAAACTGTTACTTATTTTGGAGGTAATTTAAATGAATACTAGTTATTGTTTCTCTTTTGTTATTTTTAGACTTGAAATATAACTTAAGTCAAACAAATACTAAGGGCTATTTGTTACTGGGGCTGCCCTCTACGAATCTTAGTGCTGGTATTTTGTCACCTTATTCTTTGAATTGAATTAATTTAATGCTGTAGATATTAACTCTTTATTTATTCATTCCCTCTGGATAGTTGTTGTGTTTGTGGATTGTGTTATATGTTGCTTCCACCTTACTATATTTAATTTTTACTTTATTACCTTGTGCATATACGACAGCTTGCTGCTGTAAGCTGAAAACTTTGTTAACAGTTTCTTAAAGTATGGGGATCTTATGAATATAGAGTACACGTCATCAACTTTTTCAATACTTTTAGGTTTTATGACAATACATTTTTACTGATTATATGTGACTCGCTCTCAGTTGACTAAGAATTCTTTCAATACAGAAATAGTTGCTATATAGAGCAGTGTTAAATTAAAATTCCTTCTTAAAACTAAAACATGCAATGCTTGACATTACTGAATCCAGAATTACAGGCTGCTGAGAAAATTATTAGAACCACCATACATTCTGTGCTAAGTAATTAATTGTCTTAGACATTGAGGCAAATAATAAAAAAAAAAATGTATAATTATATTCATGAAGTTATATTGAAGAAAACAAATAGTTTTTATCCACTAAATTTAACACTGCACAATTTACTTAGGTAGGTATAAACAAGATTATACTATTTCTATAAATTAATATTTTAATTTCAGAGTAAACAAAAGGTTTTGTTTAAACCAAAAAGGTATAATTTGACTGAGGTTATCAAAGGACCAGTATATGCAGGCTTTGATAGGTATAACTCAGAAGTATTTGCATATTACCTTGGGATGGTACTCAATATGCGATGGATAGCACCTGCTGTAACTATGAGGATAAATGTCGAAAATGATATTCTCCCTGTTGCGACACTCGGTTTGAAGAACACAATGGTGAAAAATGGTAAAGAAGAATGGTAAACATCTTTAAAAATCTCTGCTACTAGTGTTTTTGTACCAACTTTCGAAAGTAAATTAATGCTGCTGCATTGAAATCACCATATAATATTAATCTGGTGCTTCAGGAAAAATGTCCAAAATAATGCTGCATGAATTAAAAAAAAAAGATGTTGATAAACTTCCTTAATTATATTACGTCATACATGTTTGTTCTTTTGTCCAAATAGAAGTTGGTGCAACATGTATTTACGGAAAATGTTACTATTGCAAAATAAATGAGACTGTGTGCCCTGACAACACGGGGGTCCTTGAAGGGGCAGCAATATTGTACCTTGAAAAGCAGTTCAAAGTTCACAAATCCCCATGGAGACGATCTTATAGTCGTAAGAAAATGGACTGGGAAAAAGATACTGACTTTTGTAAGTGAGTAATCACAGACTTTAACAATTTGCAAATTTATGAAGAACCATATTAGAATAAATGAAGTTAAGTAAGGAAGGTTTTCAATACTTCAAACCTATAAATGCAAGTCACAGTACCACACAAGACTTGATTAATAGGCTGATAAGTATGTAATAATTATTACTAACAATGTTTATTGTTCATTTATTTATTTACTTGTATTTATTACACTGCATCATCTACATCACTTCCATTGGCGGATTTACGGCTGTCTGGTGTAGTCGTAAGTGACATACATGGTCACTACATAAGGGGGTCGCGGGTTCGAATCCCGCCAAGGGAAGATATTTCTATGATAAATATAAAATGTCTTTTCCAGGGTTATGGATGTATATTATATATATGTATGTGTATAATATGTAAGTATAATGTAACACAAGTTCTTTACGAACTTAGCACGGGACCAGTTAATGTGGCGTGATTGTTAGTAAATATTTATTTAATGCCTAATATATTATCTACCAGTCAACCAAAGGTTGTGCATATCAAATAATATTACTAGCTAGGCATACTTTTAAAACTCATAAAGAGATCACCTAAATCTATTAAAAGTGCATTAAAATTTAGAAACTTATCGTCAGGACTATTAAAGTTCGTCAATATGTCTTCTTTCAGTATTGGTGCTAACCGCATTACCAATATGGAAAACAAGTCTTCATGACCCAAAAGATAAGACGTATGGTGTATTAATATCAAATGACGAATATCAATACGTCAAAAGTATATAAATGCACACTCGGAAATATTGACGAATTTGAATAATTATTCAATTATTGTGAATATGTATAAAAGTTAAGGTTCCTCTATAGTTAGATTTTGACACTACGTAAATAAGATAGTTAAATTGACAGAATACTCAACACTGACTTTTGAAAGTCGTCGTGGCCTAAAGGATAACATGTCCGGTGCATTCGTATGAAGCGATGCGCCGGTGTTCGAATCCCGCAGGCGGGTACCAATTTTTCTAATGAAATACGTACTCAACAAATGTTAACGATTGACTTCCACGGTGAAGGAATAACATCGTGTAATAAAAATGAAACCCGCAAAATTATAATTTGCGTAATTACTGGTGGTAGGACCTCTTGGGAGTCCACACGGGTAGGTACCACCACCCCGCCTATTTCCACCGTGAAGCAGTAATGCGTTTCGGTTTGAAGGGTGGGGCAGCCGTTGTAACTATACTTGAGACCTTAGAACTTATTTCTCAAGGTAGGTGGCGCATTCACGTTGTAGATGTATATGGGCTCCAGTAACCCCTTAACACCAGGTGGGCTGTGAGCTCGTCCACCCATCTAAGCAATAAAAAAATATATTAAAGTAACAGCTGGAGGTTTCAGTTTTACAACATCTACTTAAAAAATGAAATAAATAAAAATGAAAATAAAGACTTCTAACTTTAACTCTTTTTCAGGAAATTGTCTCATACATTAAGCCTGCAACGAATTCTAAATTTGATTGACGTTGCCATATTTGATTTCTTAATACAAAACGGCGACAGACATCATTATGAAGTCTATAAAAACAGAATAGTTATACTGGACAATGGCAAAGGTTTAGGAAATCCAATGGTTGATATTTTGGATGTCTTGGCTCCACTCTATCAATGTTGCATGTAAGTACTGAGACCCGCAATTTGAGGCTATTCTTAGAATTACTCATCCATATAATATTATAGTTTTTTATCCGCTATTACCTCGAAATTATATTAACTGAGTTTTAGATTGAATAGAAGTATATTAATTTGTTTTATTTTCATTCAGAATTAATCTACAGACGTGGCAGAACTTACAACTGCTGTCAGGTGGAAGCCTCACTGAGACAATCAAAATTCTTTCTTCATTCCAAGGAGAAAAACTTGCCACAGAAGAACACTTTGAAGCAATTGAACGAAGACTACTTAAGGTGTACGCGACTGTACAATATTGTATTGAAAAATACGGCACTGAAAAAGTTTTTAAACATTGAAGTATGAATTGTTTTCATGAACTAAGGATGAGTTGATTGTAGAAATCTGAACTTAAATGCAATAAAAACAAACTACTAAAGAATGAAGTTGTTTACATAGTACACTTAATAGGTTGGGCAAAAAGTCTTCGCATTATAGTATGTGAACTTGTAATAAAATCTCTTTGGCTATACTATTTATATCTGGCTGGTTTTGGTATCATTAAAAGCTTAAATTTTAAAGAAGATAATTCCAAATTCAAATTAGGAAAATGTGTGATTTTTATTTATTTTTCGTACTGTCAAGATGAGTGCATCTAATGAAGAAATTCGATACATTTAAAAATTTTGCTACAAAAAAGGTAAAAATGCAACGCAAGTCGCGAAAAAAATTTGCGATGTTTATAGACCTATATAACACAGTGTATGTGAGTAGCGCAGATTGGTTTAAGCGTTTTCAATCCGGAAATTTTGATTTCAAAGATACACGTCGCTCTGGTTGCTCTATTACGGATAAAATTGATGGCATTTTTTAAAAAGTGGAGCAAGATCGGCATAATAACAGTAGTTACGACGTAGCTGAAGAACTGGGAATTGACCACAAAACAGTTTTGGCGCATTTAAATAAAACTGGGTAAACAAAAAAGCTCGATATTTGGGTATCTCACGAGCTCACTGAAAGAAATCTAATGAACCGCGTACTCATTTGTGATTATTTATTACGACGTAATAAAACCGAACCATTTTTGAAGAAGCTGGTAACTGGTGAGTTGAGAGAAAGCGGCCGGAATTAATCAACAGAAGGGGTGTGGTTTTTCATCATGATAACGCTAGACCTCACACAGCTTCACCCTAACGTGTAGGCGAGTTCACGGGGCTCAAACCTGAGTGGTGCTAACATTGGCCCTATAAAGAGCACTGCTTCGCAGAATCTACCAGCGGATCGGAAACGCGACCCACTGAGGAGAAGATCTGGGGAAAAACTCAGTGGGCTGTATCTGTGGGTTAACTCGCTCGTCGAGCCTTTCGTGGTAAGCGACGGGTTCGACGAGGACGGTGACTGGTGCTTGTGGTACTTAAAAATACCGTTAATGGATCGGGAGGATCCGTAATAACGTGTTTTGGGCGACGTCGACTGTTTACCATTCGGTCTACAGGATCGGGTATGGGGACGCGTCACTTATACTATACTTTTGGTATTACTCAAACACAAATCGAAAACATTAATAAAAAATGGACCAGTGCTGCCAACTCTCCAGTGTTAGCAACACTGGTCCATTCTCTAAATTTTATAAATATGTCATAGAATAAACACTATTGCCCAGTAATTTCTCTAAAGGTATCACCTTTTCTCCTTACCCATTTTCTCATCGTCTTAATCACGCAGTAACTAATATAATATATTAATCTGTGGTCATGATTACCGTAAACCTTTAAAACATTTTTTTTTTAGTGTGAATTAGCGATGTGAACCGATTACAATTTCTTGCTCCGGTTTATTACAGGTTTTTTTCTCAAAAAACCGGTTTTTTTAGGTATTTTTAGGTTTTTTCCATAAACGCTAAATAATCACTAAATAAAAATTTTTTACGTACAAACGAAGAATTTTCTTCATACAACTAATTGGATGAGCATATTTTATATAGGCTTTTAATGATCATATATATTATCCAATAATAAAAAGCTTTTTATTTTTGATTTAATACTATTGTATTAAATCAAAATTTTGATGCAAGAGGCATAGTTGGTCCACTGCGTCATTCAGAAGCCTGCTCCTTCTGGATGTTAGCACGTGCCAGCAATTTCGGTGTGGTTTACTGTGGCGGCTTCAGTCTCAATATACATTCGCACTATATTCACTGCGGCCGCCGTGGCGTTCGGAATATCCCGTTTTCGCGAATGCAAAAAATCCAGAATACCAGACTTTTTAAAATTGTTTGTGGTTTTTTCTGGCTGTTCCGATGATAAAGCGAGAGTTGAAAATTCTTCAAGAAGATTCCCCAGTTCACGATGCACCATCTCTTTTGCAGACAACATGTGCTCTGGATAGCGAAAGCCATTTCTGAGTGTTGGGTGCAGATATGTGGATATTTGGGTCACGGTTCTCATTTCGTACGCTAAAAGTCTACCAACCATATTGTGGTTATTGCACTGTAGTTTTTAAATGTAATGCATGGTAATTTGATTCTGAAACACGGTTTTTTTTATATTTGTAGCTTGTATATTTGATCTGGTAGCACTGGTGTGAACTGTGAATGTAAAGCGTAAAAAACCGGTATTCTTAGATAAAAACCGGTATTTATAGGTATGTATAAAAACCGGTTTTTCTCCGGTTTTCTTCGAACCGGTTTACATCCCTAGTGTGAATGAGTTCGATGGCGTGTCTTACCATATCTCGCCATCTCTCCATATTTAAAGCCATGCTGCTGCACTTATTTAGGAGTCCTCCACTGTAATCCTGAATTAGTCAGCCTACTAGTGTCGGTGCACATTATACTTTAATCTTTTGGCGCAAACGCGAAACATTGATGGTGTGAGAATTCATTCACTTTGTCTTACTTTTTCTTCAGATTTAGATGTGTAATAATGATGTCTCATAACCGTTTAGCATAATAGGTGAAAATGCTCAAGTGTAGGAAAATAAAATAAAATAACCGAATGTGACTACTTGGGTTCTTCGAAAAGTAAATTGAGCACTCAGTCAATTCCACCATCTTACTGAGAAGTTACTTCATTTTATTTGACCCAACGCCTACGGTGTTATCTCATCTCAGTTTATTTAAATTATTTACATTTCATTGGTTTTTAACTTGGTTGTATGAGAAATATTCCCTTTGCCAGGATAATTGCAAATCAAACAAAAAACCTCAAAACTTAGAAACATCTTAAAAACAAAAATTGAATAAAGATAGTATTAGATAGTAGGAACCATAGATTATACACTTAATATAATAGAGAACCTACATATCTCTATGTATATATATAATAAACTACATAGCTAATTAAATATTATTTAATGGATTTTTGACTTTTGGATGAAAATATTTTTAATTAATGTTGAATTCATTTCCACGTAAGATGATGGATCCGATCAAAGATACCTTTTTGTATTTTGCGTATGGGAGTAATTTGTTTAAAAAACGTATCCGTATCAACAATCCAACAGCTGAGTTTTTAGGAGTTGGCAGACTTGATGTAAGTTTTGCTCTTAAAAGATATATTGAAAAAATTACAATACAATTTTAGTAGTAGTACATAGTGATTATCGAATGGTTGCACCATATATAATGCACTTAATAGTTGCACTGGTAAAGTACTAAATAAATGTAAGTTATTTTAATTTTAGATGTTGCATTTTAGAATCATCAATTAGATTTTATAAAATATTCTGAACATTGGAGAGGCACATCAGCAACTATTATACCCACTGAACATGCCCATGTTTGGGGAGCAATATGGAGACTACATGATCAAGATTTACCATCATTAGACAGGTAGGGTCTATTTTTCTGAACAGTTCATTATATTTGTAATTTTTTATCGCTTTTATGTCAGATATTGCTGAATGTCGAATTTTTCAGTATTGAGGAGAGATTCATGTAACATACAAATAAGTAATCTCATTTTTCTATTAATCAGATGTAATCTAAATACTGTTATTTATTTTGTTTTCAGACAAGAAGGTGTTGATACAAACTGGTATTTTGCTAAATCTGTAAATGTTATGACTTCTGATGGTGTTTCAGTTCAATGTCGAACATATCAACAAACTATTAATCCACCTTTACGGAAAAATGGTGAAGAATTACCTCTCGAAAGAAGGCCTTGCATTACTTATTTAGATTGTATTATTAAGGGAGCTGTTGAGTGTGAATTACCCGAATATTATATTGAAGAGCTTAAAAAAATATCCCACAATGGACAAATAGCTTCAGCTAAAATGTTAGAGAAATTAAATTCACAGTAATTTTTTTTTACAAAATAATCTAAATTTTAATAATGAATTGACTGATTACAAAATTTTATTGTAACTGTTAAACATTAAATAAATTGTATATTTTCAACTCGACTTTCATTTATGAATTGTTTTTGTATTGTAACCTATTGTTTACGAAAAAGTTATTAGTGTTTTAACATTAGCACTTTTGTTTAAAAAGCCATGTGATATTAGTAACATAATATTTATGACTGAGCAGCAACTAATTATCATACTATACAAAGTTCACAACAATATTTATGCAGATATATTTATATTTTTACTATGCCTACTGTTCATTGCCATACAGGTATTGTCACTATCTTTTTTTTGCTAAGCCATCATGCACCTTGATATAGGAGGTAAGACTGCTCTCATGTTCCTTATAGAAAGAGAAAGTCATTATTACAAGGTAGTAAATCTTAAATAATATTTCATACAATTCACCCTTTCATTCTTTTTCATAAATGGCATGTAAAATATTACAAAGAATTAAAAGTTGGTATTTATTAGAAATGGAAAAAGTCAGATTGTCTCACATCGACCAGTAATCTAAGACAGGGTGCAACGGTAGGGAGCGGCTTGGCTCTGCCCCTGGCATTACTGACGTCCATGAGCAACGGTGACCACTCACCATCAGGTGGGCCGTATGCTCGTCTGCCTATACGGCAATAAAAAATAAAAAAAGTCCCATATATAAAGTGTATTTATATAAGGGATGCAAAACTTAATTGTATGCCTCAATCTTATTCAATATGCTAAGGAGGGTAGAAGTAAAGTCACCATCTTATTGTATTAGAAAGTTTCTGCTGAAAGGGGGCAAATTAAGGTGGCGCCACATTAAAATGTTTTTCAAATGGAAAGATTTAAAAAACACCACCATAAATTATATTTTTGTAATATTACGTATGCTGCTCTGGCATATGTCTTATCAAGCTCCAAGAATTTTCTAACGCAGCCACATAGAAAAAATATTGGAGCAGTCTAAAGTTTTTTTCCATCTTCCACTATTTAAAACAGTAACTGAATCTCTAAAAGTCTAAATAGAAGTAAATAATAAATCAGATTACAAACTATTTGACGAATTTACCTTTTTCTCGAATTTTGATTTTCTTTCATAGAGAATACATCGTTATCTTTGCTTGAACCTGACACGACGAATGCAGAAATAGAGCTAGTTATAGTCACTCGAAAATAGTCTATAAACTATACATTTTAGGAACTTCAAAGATGTAAACATCTCAACAGAAAATTATGAAAATGTACGAGCCTGATACTTTCTTATATTATTCTTATGGAGCCAATTTATTAACATCCAGAATACACATGCACAACCCTACAGCCGAGTTTTTATCCATAGCAAGACTAGACGTAAGTTCTATTAAGTTACCGTCTAGTCTATCTATCTATTATATTAAGTTATTAGTTATTATATTGTTGCAACTGATGAGCTTACCCGGTGTTAAGATAAAGAGCTCATAATTCCGAATTGAACGCGCGCTAGACATGAAATCGAGGTTTCCAAAAAAATTTATTAAATTCACCTGTCCCATTACCGCTTAGACATCAAATGTTTTTGATGGAAGATAAAAAGCACATTAATTCTTTTTAAGAACTATAGGTTGGATTTTATAACATATTCAAAATTCTGGGGAGGTCCTACTGGAACATTAGTGCCAACAGCTAATGCACATGTTTGGGGTGCCATTTGGCGTTTGCACATCAATGATATGACATCCCTGGATGCGTGAGTTCATATTTTATTTATTTATTTATTTAAACGTGTATGGTAAAGAAGTACCAATATAGTAAATCAAAATTGTTAATGTTAATGTTGTAAACGACTTATACCAGTAGTAATTAACTGATGTCCTAATAAAAAGTGCACTTTAAAATACTAATAGTGAAATGAAAACTGAAATTGCTTACAGTCAAAAACTTGTTGAAGTAAAAAAATATTACATAAAATATGTCAAAGTTCTCACGCCATACATGGGGACGTTTTTATGTAGAGCATACATACAGACCGTTAATCCTTTGCCGAGAAGTGATAACGACGTCATCCCCATAGAAAACTGGCCATCGAGAACATATAAAAAGGTCATAATATTGGGGGCTTTGGAACACGGGCTACCAAATTATTATATAGAATATTTAAAGAAATTAAAACATAATGGCGAAGAAGCATACTGGAGAGCAGCGTGTCTATTAAAACGCTATTCCGAAAATGAACCATGCCAATGTAGAGTTCCAGGGAGAATACCAAGAAGGCCACTTAAACTAGATATGAACATGTTACGAAACAAAAAAGTCGAAAAAATAAACATTTTAAAAAACAATATTTATTTACAATAAATACTCATATTTGAGGCGGAAGGTTAAGTGTTTTTTTTTTGTATTTTTTTTATTTTAAACAATTCCACAATTTCATAACATTTTTATTAATATAAATAATAAAGTTATTTTAGGTACTCGGTCCTGATTTATTTAATATTTATAAAGTCATATGTATACTACATTAATAGTTTGGTGAATTTGTATTTAAAAATTGAGCATATAGCACAACGCTACCCCGACACTAGATCACAAGTACTCACATATCACACAACAAGGAAATCATTTAGTCAGTCAATAAGTTACGAAAAATATTACACTAAAATGAGGTAATCTAACTGCCTTGATTAATGAAAAATCTTAAATGACATTAAATACTGATAAACAAAAACATTAAAATAACCAAACGAAACCATAATATTTGAGTTCGCACAGAACGCTGTGCGAGGCAACGTTGTGCGAGACTAATCTAACCGGAACCACTCCATTTACTCTCTCCTCGTATTTCAGTAAAAGGACTGATTACAAATTTAGAGAAAGTCTGAAAGTGGCGCGTTTGGAATTGTATGGTATGGTATGGTAAATGAGGTTGGTAAGAGAGTGTTAATTATGAATGTGGAAGGATATAGAGGAAATGGAAGACCTAAGAAGAAACGGAAGGATTGCGTGAAAGACGATATGTGTAAGAGGGGAGTGAGCGAAGAAATGGTATATGATAGAGGAGAAGGAGAAAACATGTTACGCCGACCTTAGGTGACTAGGAGAAGGGCAGGAGAATGATGATACTAATTACAAATTTAATTATAATCACACTAGCGCTATGCAAAACATCAATTGAGGCCGTCAGAGCAAAAGTGGCCTAGTCCAAAATTTTTCATATTCGTGTCGTGCTTATATATTGCAATTTATTTAAAACATAATAAATTTTGATGCAAAACTGTCCTATCCCTAGTTTCACCCATAAATAACAGATGGCTTAGTAAAGATTATTTTTGCGCGTATTATTTTTGACCACGAAGCAGTGTAAAAGTAAATTCAAAACTCGTTATCTTCATGCTGACTATGGTAATTTTAGGCCGCTTTTGCGCTGACGGCCTCAATTACTATTTGTAGTGGCGGACAGTTGGAGACGAGCAGTGGAGTGGTTTGGCGGTTTAGTTTCAGGAACTGCGAGGCCGTAAAAAGCGGCTTGCCACTTCGGTTACAACGATGCCAAACCTTCCAGAGCGCTGAGAGATCTCATCCGATAAACAGGTGCGATACGTTGTTCACCGCTCTGGAACATCGGCCCATATATGTGGAGCTAACAGTACAGATAATACACTTAATAACATACGCTTAGTGGTTATCTACAGTATATTTCCATTAATTGAGCAAAAGGCACTATGCAATATACAAAAATAAACGGTTTTTTTTTTCAATGAATTCCCATTTTCGTTTTTTTTTTTTTACAATATAACATATTTGACTAATGAAAGTTAGTTATCAACGATGCAACGTGCCTTGAGCCCCGACGATCAGACGACTTAGTGTACCCATAACATATCCCATGCCGGTCGCACTGCACTCCACTCCAAAACCCCAGTTCCAAATAAAACTCAACATTAGTCAGTGCGGACGGAAAATTATCTAAACAAAAAAAAAACAAATACAATCGGCAAGCCATTCGCTATACATCTAAACCAGCATTATAATATTCTTCCGGCTAAGAGATTTTTAATTGTGTTAAGGAATAATGTTACTTGCGTTTTGTGAATTACTTTAATTAATTTTTGATTAACTATTCATTCGTATACCGTCAATTTCGATCAAACAGTGTCTTTACCACAATCAAAAATTCTGCATTCATTTAAAGGCTGGACGTCTGAAGGCACTCGTTTTTACCCTTACATCAATATATTTTTTTTAAGTTTTCATTTAAACCAGAAACTATTCGTGTCTTATAAATCGAATTTAATATTTTGTCGTATGTTGCAAACTAACTTTCGATGATTTTAATAAGTTTACACGCGAATTTACCGAATGTATAACAATAATAATAATGGTTTTGTGTAGATATAGATCTCGGGCACGTGATAGCGGGTGTAAAGACACCGTTTCTGAAAATCAAATCGAAAATATTATCGAAACATATTTTATAAATGCTTCCTGCACTGCACGCAATGTAACGCAAATATATCAAATGACTCACGGGGTCAACGGTCTTGTATGAACATAGCAAGTAATGCCGTATCAGCTTCGAGCACATATCCCTTACATATTGTAAGGATAAAGTGACAAAGTAGTTGATTGAATTAAAAGAAAAATACACTAAAAAAACACTGCATTTGTATTTAGCAATAAAAGACACATCAAAAAGAACTTTCTTGTATCATTTCATTATCATTAATATAACAAATAGCCTTCTTTTTTTGTAGATTTTAGCAGGTATTTCGACTACAAATAATACAAAAATTTTAATTCAAGGCGAAGTTACAAAAACCGTCATTATATACCACATAGGTACCATATCATTATATAAACATATTTCATACAATACGTCTTGCTAAAAGATATCTCATTATGAGTCAAATATCAAATTTAGCACAACTCTTAGACGACGGAGCTTTGTAATAACATTGTTATCGAAATGAAAAAAGCTTTTGTATGTACTTTCTCTTACTTTTATACTGAAATACAATTTCATTGTCGTTTTAGGATGTGTATTGTCGCAGTTTTTTTTTTTTTTTTCATTAATGCAACTTTTTAATAATTGATAAAAATATCAAATTACAACATTATACATGACTTTAAATAAAACAAAAACCGTTGTCTATTTCATTCATTTTCAATCAACCACTCTGTCATTTATTTTGTTACAGAACTATACAATTATTAGTCCTTCGTGTGAAGTATACTTATGAAACTGTTTTAAGTATACTTGACGTCCTCAAGATGGATACAAAGCATTAAAATTTTTATATTTTTTTCCCAAAGAAATTGGCTGTTCATACACACATAAATTTTTTTTATCTTGTAAAAATATACTCGTTAAATGATCAACATCTAATAGTAATTATTAATCTAGGCCAAATACAATAATATGGTGTTAGTTCAAGTATTCATTTTTTTTTTCATTTTAACCAATTTAAGTTGTATTATTTGTTTTATCTATTTTATATGATATTAAATAATTATAGTAACTTTTACACTCATGTTTGATGTGGAAAAAAAATATTGGCGTGTTTCAGTTAAAGTTTTATATAAGTTTTTTTCAACAGCACAAAATCTATTTAAAACTACACGGTATAATTTGTATGTAAATTGAATTTGTTTATTTAATTATAAATAGATATTTAATCGTAATGTACCTATATCATTTTTATAACAGCAATAATCAAAGTACTATTTTTTCGATTGTCAGTATGGAACATTTTTTTTTTATGTGAGTATTATAAAGTGTTGCGCGAATCCGGCGACAAGCACGCGAGTGACGGACCCGCTACGTTACACTTTCAACAAAAAGTGTTGCAACAACAATAACAACATGACAACGCAGCGGGGCCGCCCCCCGCGCCGCCCGCCCCTCGCCCCTCGGTCCGAATATCGATTAATTAAATTAATTTGTACAAATTTACTCTCACGCACCAATATTATCATATTAAACACACTATACATCTTATAGGGTAGTCTTAACATTAATAGGCTATGTCAAAGGACACTGTTACAACTATCGTAATGAGGTACAATTTATAGGATAAATATCGAGAGGCGTCGTATCAAACGTTTAATATACGCTTCCGATGCTAAAACATATTCTCACCGAATTTTATTTAAAGTTTCCTGTTCGATACTACTACTGTTCTTTAGTTATTTTCAAATTGTGCACTTAAAATTTTAATTTACTTTTTAACTCGAACATTCTTCTCTGCTGGCACGCTCCTTGTGCAATAAATTAATGTAATAAATGCAGAGAGGATGGAGGAACGGTCCTCGTTAAGGATAAATTTAAACTAGTATCGAAAAAAAAAACAGAGTCGACGACCTCGGTTCGGTCTCATTGAAGTCACACAGTGACAGTGTAGAGGGCGGTCAAGTATGGAGACGAACTTTTAAATACAATATCTACACCCGCGTCCGTCCCCGCCGCGCCCCCCGGGTCAGTCGCGACACGAACCGAGCCCACCGTCCGGCAACACTCCGATCCGTACTACAAGTTAATATTTACATCGCCGTCCGCGTGGAGACGTACTCGTATTCAATAAATAAAAAAAATCGCATCGAAGATTTTACTAGCTACGCTTAGAAACTATGATTCGATGAGTCGGGCGCCGAGACGTCCGACCTGAGGTAGATAGAGGTTTCGCGGAAGCACGCGCGCGGCTGCCTACACCTACCCCCCTTCCGGCGCGACTCCGCCACCATCGCGCTGTACCCTTACGCAGTCCCAGGATCGTCATATATACGTAGGGACATTGTTTCGGGCTAAGGGTACGCATGTTCGTTTACAGGTGGGAGGAGTTTCGCTCGATTCGGGTATCAGTGGTTTCGAAAACGGGCAGAGTGCGAGTCGCGCAGTACGCCGTTGGGTCCCTTGATGGCCGGTGCGGGTGCGAGTATGGGGGCGGGGGAGGTGCCGGGCGGAGGGAGGGGCTGCAGAGGCTCGGCCGCCGCGTCGTCGGAGCCCCGGGACCGCAGAGAGGACAGCTCCCGCACCCAGGACGCGAGCCGCCCCGACACACCGAACAGGTTCGACACGGAGCCCGTCGCCACCGCACCCACATCCACCTCCGGGAGCTCTTGTTCCTCATCTGTATCACGAAGGTGGAATATGAAATAATTTGCGATACAAAACATAAGACAAAGGGAAGCATTCTACCATTTCGATTTTGCACTACGATAGATTTCATTTTGAACTTAATCGATAGGTACTAACATAATTTAACATAACTGTACCTAATGAAGAACCTACTTTAAAAAAAAAGTAATCTAATGATTTTCGTTATAAATGTCCTCGTTCATGCATGAAATTTGGAAAAAATCAAAGGGTTCTACATACATAAAATTCTAATCGCTAACATGGTTCACTCAGGAAATGATAACAAAAGTGCTTATTGCTCATTTTAATCCGGCATGCATGCACTACTTACAGTTTCTCATTGTGCCGGGGGCTTGACACAAACGTCTATTGTTGGCATGAATGTAAAAGAAAATATTTAACAAATAACTTAATTATAGTATAAAAACACTCTAAAATATAATCAATGTTATCATTTACTGCAGTGTACCTTTTCTGTGCAATTAAATGATCATGCTAATTGATTGTTGAAAACCCATAACGGTTTACCATCAGCACTGATTGAAATAATATTTTTAAAATTTATGTCATGTACAAAGAATGGAGCTGTAAATATAAATGGTCTATCAAAAAGTGTATTTCACATTCATCTGGTCAATAACATGCACCTCTAGCTTNGTTATCATTTACTGCAGTGTACCTTTTCTGTGCAATTAAATGATCATGCTAATTGATTGTTGAAAACCCATAACGGTTTACCATCAGCACTGATTGAAATAATATTTTTAAAATTTATGTCATGTACAAAGAATGGAGCTGTAAATATAAATGGTCTATCAAAAAGTGTATTTCACATTCATCTGGTCAATAACATGCAATTCTAGCTTCAGCAACATTTAGGCAGATTGACTGTGAAATTAAAAGTATGACGTCTATGTGTGTAAATATTGTATATAATAAATATAAAGACGATGTAACTAATTTTATACACTGCATTCGTATATATAATATAACAACACAATAAATGTTCATCAAATCATTCAGTAAAAACAATTACAATGATTCATCGCTAGTTTTTGGTGGTATAAATGAAATCGACATGCAATGGAAAAGAAAAAACGTTCAAGTATATAGAAAAGTTACGGTGGCATAGTTATTTTTTACAGCATTTAAAAAAAAACTCATACAATTGTCACAATAAATGTAATGCATTGAAAATGTACTAATTTATTATAAAGCATATTTATATTTAATAGGTAAAAACTAAATAAGTATGTTCCATTTTCTCCTCTATTTGTTTTCCAAACTTCTTTCTTTTTAGTAGCTATTTATTGTATGAGCTTTTGTTTTATCATGGAAATCAGTTACATTGTGTCTTTTTTCAAAATCAACGAAACAAAAGAGAAAATGTAGTACGTAAAATCTAAATCTTGAGGAATCAATGATTATGGTCAAATTTCTATCATTAGGCGAACACTGGCATGTTAATGTTTTACAAACAACTAAAACTATGAAACGGAATAATGCGACTTTTTTTGTCTCCATTATGCTGGTTGTCAATTTTACTTGAAGTTTTAATTAAATAAAAAATAAAAATTGCTAGGGTCACTAACCTAGCGCAGATCGCTGGAGAGCGTACAACTCCTGGCCCTGCGGCGAGTGGAAGAAGCTGCGGTGGCGGAAGTAGGGCATGGCGTGCGGCACCAGGTCGGCCACCAGCTGCAGGAAGGTGGGGCGCGCGGAGGGGCGGTGCGTCCAGCACGCGCGCATGAGCTCGTACAGCCGGTCCGGGCACTGCTCCGGCCGCTCCATCACGCCGCCCTCCACCACGTACCGCAGCACCTGCTCGTTCGACAACCCCTGCCAAACCAAACCAACAATCATTCGATCGCCTCGTTGGCAGAGTGACTAGTGACACTGACCGTTTTTTACACGCTTTATATTAGCTTCACTTGTATGTACGTTTGTAACTGACTCATTTAGACGCGATTTTGACCCACTTTAAACCACACTTTTCCGTAGTGAAAATTAACCTACAGACACAGCCCACTGAGTTTCTCGCCGGATATCCTCAGTGGGTCGCGTTTCTGACCCGGTGGTAGATTCAGCGAAGTAATACCCTTGCTAGGGCTAGTGTTAACAAAATTGCCAGGCTGAGCCCCGTGAGCTCACTTATTCGTACAGTGAAGCTAGGGTAATCCTTCGAGATTTCTAGCATAGCTAGGGGGGAAAAAAGTAAAGAAACAACAAACGTTTCCATTGCTCGCTGTGTGACGTTTGCTTACGACGGCCTCTACTGAACAATGGTCATGCACTCAGTAGTGAATCAGAGTTATGATTACCTGATAGGGTTGCATCGCGAGCGTTGCCATCTCCCACAAAACAACCCCGTAGCTCCAAGCGTCACTGCTACTGGAAAAGACCTGGAAACCGAATGAGAACATTAAGTCGGTTCGTCAGTAGACGACTATGTATTTATTAGAAGGCAGCGCGCGACACTTACCCCGTCTTTTAAGCTTTCGGGGCTCATCCACCGCACCGGCATTAGGCCTTTGGTGCCTTTCCTATAATAATCAGTCTCATAAATATCTCTGGTCATGCCGAAGTCCCCAACTTTGACGGTGAGGTCGCCGGCGACCATACAGTTGCGCGCCGCTAAGTCGCGGTGCACGAATTTTTTTGCCGACAAATATGCCATCCCGTCGGCTATTTCTATGGCCATCTGAAACAGAAACATAATCGAATTTATGAATCGTAGAAAATTTAAAAATTCCACCATTCATTCATAATAATAAAAAATATTAAAACATCCGCTTTCAATCATTAAAAAAACTAGATAAAAAACAATTCATTGTCTTATACCGAACGTAAAGGAATTAAAATGACATGTCAGCATATTATTAAAATTTAGACGTAAAACAATATTAATTTTTAAAAAATAAACATTTACAGTTAAACGCAGCGAATTTTTTATATATGTAATAGGCAACTTAATTAAGACCAAACAAAATTTTATCGAATGCGATCAGAAATCAACAGCCCGCAATGGTCTTATCCGTGTTGGGCTCAAAAATCAACACCCTGCAAGTTAATAAGCAATCAAAGAAAAAAGAAACAAAATTAAATTCAGTCAAATCCACCGTAATTTACACAAAGCATACCCGATCCTGTAGACCGAATGGTAAACAGTCGACGTCGCCCAAAAGTTCCCAAAATACGTCATTACGGATCCTCCCGATTCATTAACGGTGCTTTTAGGTATCACAAGCACCAGTTACCGTCCTCGTCGAGCCCGTCGCTCGCGACGAAGGGCTCGACGAGCGAATTAACCCACAGACACAGCCCACTGAGCTTCTCGCCGGATCTTCTGTGGGTCGCGTTTCCGGTCCGGTGGTAGATTCTGCGAAGTACTGCTCTTGCTAGGGTCAGTGTTAGCATCACTCCGGTTTGAGCCCCGTGAGCTCACCTACTAGTTAAGGTTCCGCTGAAATAGCCTCTCAGGCTATCAGCTTAGGTAGGAAAAAAAAAATACACAGAGCTTTGTCTAGTATGACCTCGGTGTGACCTCGTACCTGCAAGATGTTCTGCAGCGTGGGCGGCACGGGCGGGCTGGAGGGCAGCGAGCCCTCGGCGTCGGGTCGCATGGAGCGCAGATACGTCTTGAGGTCGCCGCGCTCCATGAGCTCCATCACGACGAGGGTCGGCTGGCCGCGGGAGACCACGCCCAGCAGCCGCACCACGTGGAACGTGTCAAACGCCTTCATCACCGACGCCTCGTTCAGGAACTCGATGCGCTCCCTGTCCGAAACGTTCTTACATATAACTATAAACTCAACGCGGTATCGATTTGTTAGTCTTCAAAAAAAAGACAAACGATCAAACAATTTCTTATAGATTATATAGTGTATTTTATCTGATGTTCCAGATAAAATACTTTTTTTCATTGCCCTTGTAGGCAGACGAGCACACGGCCCACCTGATGATGAGTGGTTACCGTCGCCCATGGATTTCAGGAATGCCAGGGGTAGAGCCAAGCCGTTGCCTACCGCCTAAATAATAAAGTAGTCTTATTTAAACTGATTTTTGGCATTTAAATTTTAAAATTAAATGCCTTTGTTAACAGATCTCAGAAGCAAAATTCAGACGTATCTTTCCACAACCACTACCGTGTATATAGTACGTTTTATTCCACTATACTACACGCATATTATTCCTTCACTTTGGAGTACTTTCTCTTGAATTATAGGCGTTCGTCCGCGCTCGTATTTCGTAGAAAAAGAATCAAGGTCCAACTACACGACGTACCTGTCTGTCGCGTGCTCGTTAACGGTTTTGATGGCGCAGCGCGTTTCCGGTTTCCCTTTCACGATTTCCTTGGCGATCCCTTCATACACCTAAAAACCGAACATTAATTTAATTCAAACCTGCTTTTTATGTGGTTATAAATTGGTGTTGTTCCCGATTTTTAAGTCAGGTTAATTATTATTATAATTCATTTGATAATTCGAATTCGGGTATAAAGGGCAGTTCACGTATTCACGCTTCGACAACCGCCAGACTGTGCATCCGCCATTAAAACAAGTCACACTGAGCTGATGTCGTTTTACTATAAAATATATCTACACGCTACAACCCGGCCATCCTATGACTTCATAGTCTCCATATATCTATAGGTATTGTAGCATCATAACTTGTAAAGAACAAAAGCAACTGTCCATCCCATAGACACAGACCACTGAGTTTCTCGCCGGGTCTTCTCAGTGGGTCGCGTTTCCGATCCGGTGGTAGATTCTGCGAAGCACTGCTCTTGCTAGGGTCAGTGTTAACAATACTCCGATTTGAGCCCCGTGAGCTCACCTACACACGTTAGGGTGGAGCTGAAATAGCCTCTCAAGGCTATCAGCAAAGGTAGAAAAAAAAACAAAGCGACTGACCATGCCAAACGATCCCTGTCCGAGTTCTCGGATGAAGTGTATGCTGTCGCGTGTGACCTCCCATTCGTCGGGCACGTAGACAGTGGGCACGTACTCCGGGTTGACGCTGGCGAAGAGCTTGCTCGCCTCGGCGTGGGACATGAGGCCGCGGCGCGCGTACCACACGGCCGCGCCCACCAGCAGCGCCAGCACCACGCCGCCCGCCCCCACGCCCCACGCCCACGCGTGCCCGCTCTCCGATACTCGCTCCTGCACACCAACGCGCACACGTAAACATTATATCTCAATCCTTCTGCAAACTCACGAACCCATCTTGTATTTTACATTTACGTTTCAAAATAATTACAGAACGATGTATTATATTCTATATCTGTAGCTTCTTTTTACGAGAAATATATACATACATTTGATAATTTGTTTTATGTATCTCTGTCATATCTTATATTTTATGGATTGTTTCTTCGTTAGAAAATCACGCATGCATGTACTGGTGGTAGGGCCTCTTATGAGTCCGCACGCGTCGGTACGACCACCTTGCATTTACGTTCTAGACTCCGGTAACCACTTAACACCAGGTGGGCTGTGCGCTCGTCCTCCAATCCATGCGATAAAAAATGCAATTACCACTAAGTGCATGTTAGAACGTAATAGTAAAACTGTTTAAAAATCAATTTTTTAAAGTTGTTAATGGCTGGTTAATTACCATAACACATACCGGTATAAATACGTAGATTTCTTCGGAAACGTTTCCTGCTCCGCTGACGGTGACCGGTGTGACCTTGACGCTGTAGTTGCCCGGAGATAGGGTCTTGAGCACGTAGCCGTGCCCGTTCGCTTCGTAGTCGTCTACTGTTATACAACTCTGTAAGCCTACATCCGGGCCCTGCGAATTCAATAATGTGTACTTATAGTATACAGGGTGTTACAATAAATATCAATGTCGATTTGTTTTGATATTTATTTTTGCAATTATTTAATTAATCCATCGATATTCAATAGTTTTTGGGACAACAAAACAATTCTTATTCCATACACAAATTTTAATTAATTACAGTTCATAAAAGCAAATGTATAAAATTCCTTTTCAGATTTAAACCACACCATAATTAACTTATTGTTTTCCGTTATGTAATTTTTATATTATTTGTACAATTAATTTTGTTCTGCTTGACTTGCTTCTTTATGTTTGGATAGAGTTTTAGCTACAAAGTTTACTCATATTTTTTATAAGAATACTAGCTGTACCCGTCCGCTTCGCTGGGCATTTAAAGTTAACATTATTATTTCTCACCCCCACAAATATTCTCATCATTAACGCCCCCGCAACTGGTATAGGGAGTCCAACACTCATTTAAGTATAGCCTATTCATTAATTACATGTATTTTCTGCATGGATACCAAGTTTCAAGTCAATCGGATGCATAGTTCAGTAGTTATAACGGAACATCCGCCAAACCACTGTAGATTTATATATTAGTATAGATTGAATCTACAAAATATATCAAACCTGCGCACTGTCCTCGATTCGTGAGTAATGTACGTTGTACGCGACCACAAAACCGTTCGGATTGAGGGGAGGCTCCCACGTGACGTTCACTTCGGGCAAGGTCTTGTTAGCCGGCATTATCTCCACTTGGAAGTTACTCACAACGTCTGCGTTTGCTATAAAAAAAAAAAAAAAAAAATTAGAACAATTTTCAAGCGTACTGTAATAAGATAAGCTTTGCTTGATCATATAAACACATCGTATGAATAGGAGAATAGGACAATTGAACATTCAATGTCAGCTATAATCAATTCTAACTAGTCAGGTCATAAGTATTGTCACACAGTAAAAACTTTTCTCTTAGAATGCTGGCCACAAAAAAGTTTATTGAATTCGAATTTCGAATTGTTCATGAAAATAAAAATGTATACTTTTATATGGGTGGACGAGCTTACAGCCCACCTGGTGGTAACTGGAGCCCATAGACATCTACAACGTAAATGCGCCATCCACCTTAAGATATAAGTTCTCAGGGTCTCGAGTATAGTTACAACGGCTGCACCACCCTTCAAACCGAAACGCATTACTGCTTCACAGCAGAAATAGGTGGGGCGGTGGTACCTACCCGTGCGGACTCACAAGAGGTCCTATCACCAGTAAAAAATGTGGTACGTACGCAGTTCTAAGGTGCGGAACGTGTTATAAGCGCGAACCGAGCACCAGTTCTCGGCGTAGACCGGATCGGTTTCGTTCAAGTCCTTGTTGCGACACGCCCATATGTTCACGGTGTACCAGGTGAAGTGACGCATGTTCTTCACGGTCAACGTCCGAGTCGAGCCGTCCAATTCGTAGTATAAAGATTTCACGTAACCTGCGAATTTTAATTTTTAAATCCATTTAATATTTTTAAATATTTTATTGTACCCCCAAACGCAAAAAACAATGAAACCTGCTTGTCCATATTCCAAATATGGATATTATCGTGATTCCCACATGAATGAAACGACATGTTATTCAATTGAGACTCATATGCATTTCACATAAATATATCCAGTTGTATAAATATCATTTACTTTTTCAATTGCGGTAGGGATCTCAGACTTATTAACATTTTTCTTGTGACGGGAATTATTTAAACAGAAAATTTTATGTGATAAAATTTATATTAATCTTTTTTCTGTTTAGTTAAAAGAGTTAAGTAAAGCCTACTGTAACTAAGTCGGCTTTCGGCTACGTCTTTAATAATTTATGTTCGACTGAAATTATTGCAAGTTTCACGCACGCGTAATGTTTTAAAAACATCAACAAACAAACAGACAGTAACGATTTTGTTTGTGTAACGTTACGTTGCTGACGTCACATTCCGGTGATAAAATCAAATAAATCTTCTACGAACTACGTTTACTAAATAAACATGGCAACACCACCTTTACGATTTAAAAATAAAACGAATTATTTAACGAAATACATGACGTCTGCATTTGACTGCATTTTGACTGTGCGTCTATTTACTGAAAATAAATAAAACAATCATATAAATTTTACTGCATGCATTTTATTACAATGTGAACGTGCTACTTGATCCTGGTACCTGATCGGTTTCGTTGTAGTTTTAACTGGCGACTGCCGTAAAAGCTAATTTCATGCAAATGCTGTCGTAAAATGCGACCGGTAATGTTTGATGCTAACATGCTACATCGCTTGGCTCGACTATTATAATAAAATAAAAAAAAAATTATACGATGTTACAGTTTACGACGCGTTAAGCGCGCTTGATGAATTAGCTTTTAACTATGAATTTCTCATTGCAAGATTTTAGAGCGTAGGATTACAAGCAGAACTTAAAAACATTATCTTTTGTATATCTCGATTTTGTTTAAAGTATTCGATTTTTGAATCCTCCCCTTCCAAATTTCCCGCCAAAAGATTTAAAACTGTCACCTAACGTCAGAGGTGAACTAAGAACCGAAAAAAAAAATCGTCACTCCTTAATATTCGATACTAATGACAATTGCTTTTAATAAACTCGCTGCTCATAGATCAAGCTAGCACGCCAAGAAATTCAGGTTTAAAATATTAACAGTAAATCTGTGAAAGCATCGCGACGCGGCGGTGACGTGACGATCGGGCATGCAGCGACCGAAACCGTGACAACAATAATGACAATAAAATTAATAAAAATAATAATAATAACAAAATGATTCGTGTATATTTAACCTGTTGCGTTGTCCTTTACGACGCAAACGTTAGGCTCGATGCGACGGCACTTTACTGAAACGAGAACGTTGAGATGGTCGTGATGATTGTGCGCGCTGACAAGCATGACATAGATGAAGGGTAAGCACAGAGAAGGCGGCTTTTAGGCGAGAACGGGACATGTTAAATGGTCGCGTATGATGAGCGGCGTCGAGGAGCCGGGACTGCCCAGGTACCTTCGTCGTCCGTGATGTTGGAGTAGTTGAGGCCGGGTCTCGGGCTGTTGTTCTCGGTCAGTTTGACGAGCATGCTGGTGAGGCTGTGGTCGACCGACCTTTTCACTTTGCTCGTTCCGTCGATAGACTTGTGTATTTTCGGGTTCACTCGTTCGGATTTCCTGTAAACCTGAGGAGTTTTTGAATAATTTGTAAATTCAACGGTCGAACCCCTATCTTGGAATAACAAAAGCTAATATGGCTTTAAAATGTATATAGATGTATTTATGCACCCACTAAATAATATGTGTACACACTAATGAAACCCGGCCATATTTATTTATCGAAACTACTCGCACGCCATCTGTCGGTGTTGATAGTATTATGACAGAAACTTTCCTTGGAGTGGTAATAATAAATGTACCAAGTGCCCTCGCAATCGGATAAATGAGTCGACTATTATCAAAGCCGGCAATCTGACTTTTGGACAATGATTGGTAAATCAGAAAAACGAATTATTGACTTTGTATTCCATTGGCAGTCACAAAACTCTTCGGAACGACATCTAAGATAAATAACAGGTTAACTATTAACCTTTATTTAATGCAGGTTTTGAACCGTATTCTTTGAAGGAGACGATTATATTCAAATCAATCTGTATTGACATATCAATAATTTTTTTTTGTCCAAATGCACAGATTGCCACCTTTGATAATAGACGACTCAAATGGTCTTAAAATATTTATACTTCACATTTTTCAGCAAAACGAAACATCAATATTCATTTAGTAATTAATTTGACATTTATTAAATTCTAGTAATCTATAATTTATATATATATGTATATAAATAAATTGCTGTTCGTTAGTCTCGCTAAAACTCGAGAACGGCGGGACCGATTTGGCTAATTTTGGTCTTGAATTATTCGTGGAAGTCCAGAGAAGGTTTAATATGTGAAAAAATATAAAAAAGCTCAGAATTATATAAAAACAAACAATTTTGTTTTTCCTTTGATGTGTCCCCTTGATGTGTCTTTTCTTTATCGATTGGGGCACTACGAAGTCTGCCGGGTCAGCTAGTTAGTAATATAAGCCGGTAATAAGTTTGTTCATCACCTGATTTTGCAACTCGTTCTCGAAATTGATGCTGTCGACCCTCTCCTCCTCGGCGCGAGTGCTGAACCTCAGACTCGGTTTGGCTTCCTCTTTGCAAGCGCAAACACCATTTTTCACGTCGCCGGTGATTTTCTCCTCTGGAGTTTCGGGCGCTTCTTCTAAACTAGCTTTGATCATGTTAGCCAAGATGCTCGCTGTAACAAATAGTTTAAATAATGATCTAACAATTTCACCAAATTGACATGAATAAAATCACAAAAAAAAAGTTGAATGAACAAAAAAACTATATTTTATTTTGTATTTTATAGAATTTCTATTTTTTATTATTTCTATTTTATATTCTATTTTCATATTAAATTATATATAGGTTATAAGGTAAAATTTTATAAACATCAAATTCAATCTGATATTTACAAAATTGAATTTGAAGTTTATTTTTTTTATTTATTGCTTAAATGGGTGGACGAGCTCACAGCCCACCTGGTGTTAAGTGATTACTGGAGCCCATTAGACATCTATAACGTAAATGCGTCACCCACCTTGAGATATAAGTTCGAAGGTTTCAAGTATAGTTACAACGGCTGCCCTACCCTTCAAACCGAAACGCATTACTGCTTCACGGCAGAAATAGGCAGGGCGGTGGTACCTACCCAAGCAGACTCACAAGAGGCCCTACCACCAGTAAGCGGTTATCTATACTAATATATAAATCTACAGTGGTTTTTACGGACGTTCCGTTATAACTACTGAACCATGCACCCGATTGACTTGAAATTTGGTATCCATGTAGAAAATACATGTACTTAATGTATAGGCTAATATTTATATCAGTGTTGGACTCCTCACACCAGTTGCGGGGGCGTTAATGATGAGATTCTTTGTGGGGGTGAGAAATAAAAATGTTAATTTTAAATGCCCACCGAAGAGGACGGGTACAGCTAGTTAAATCATAATATAAAATTTATAAAATTGACACATACGATTGCCACAATAATTGATGTTGCCGGCAAGTATCTGCGGCCTGTTGTAGCTGTTGGCCTGCACTTCCACGTGGTACAGTATGATCGTACCGTTCGGCATCGTCGGCGGTGACCATTTTATGAAGATCGAATGCGGCGTCAACAGCTCCACAGTGACCGCGGTGGGTGGACTCGGTTCTGTGAGGAGACAATCATTACATTTCATTTAAGAGAAACTATTCATTTTGTTTTTTGTTTATCTATGGCAACATTAAGATAATTACATACAGGGTGTCATGGTTTTCGGAGGCAAAACGACTATGTATGCGGCGTGTCAGTTGCTTTTTAACACGCTTTTATTAGCTTGACTTGTCCTATCTAAGTAACGTTAACGTTATGATTTTAAGCAATGTTAAAACGTCCGATTAAGCCGGAACTCAAGACTAATACGCGGCAACGAACGATTGCAGCACACCCTGTATTATTCGTTTGACCCACTCACGCATCGGCAAGGTCCTGAAGTAAATGATCGAGCTCTGGGCCCCCTTCCTGTCCTGTATCGTGGTGTAGGTCTTCACGTAGGCCGCGTATCTGGTGTATGGCCTCAGCTGGGTGATGGGATAGAACAGCGGCTGCATGTCGGCGCACGGATTGAATATAACCTCCGTTTTGTTCCTGGCGTGAGAGGGCTTCGCGTTGCGGTTCACTTTACGAGTCTCCTCTATTGGCTTGTCGAGTACTTTCCATCTGAGAAAAATAATAATATTTTGAATAAAATTAATTACGCCTGTAGATATCACAGAATGTATNGGCCTCAGCTGGGTGATGGGATAGAACAGCGGCTGCATGTCGGCGCACGGATTGAATATAACCTCCGTTTTGTTCCTGGCGTGAGAGGGCTTCGCGTTGCGGTTCACTTTACGAGTCTCCTCTATTGGCTTGTCGAGTACTTTCCATCTGAGAAAAATAATAATATTTTGAATAAAATTAATTACGCCTGTAGATATCATAGAATGTATGATATTGTTACGCGCTGTGGTTCGGGATAAATAAAATTTCACAAAAGTACAACTTAAAAACTGTATTCAACACTTAAAACACTTTAACACTTCACAAACACTTTAAAACTCTCAATTCGCTAGTTCCGCTTCGCTTCAGGTGATCCGTTCGCTGTTTCGCTTCGAGTAGTTCCGATTACTGACTGACTGCGTGCCATCTCTACAACGATTTTATAGCCGATACCGCATCCCTAGAATTATCGAGAATATTCTACACATCTCTAGTCGTCGTTTCCGCTATCTGTCAATAGATGGCGTTGTAATTCTCGAGCATTATGGATCCTTCGATATTCGTTCGACTATTCGGCGATAGATGGCGTTACTCTTACCAGCGTAACAATATGTAAACTAAAACACTAATCGCGTCAAGGAAATTTTGAAATTAAGTTTGCAAATCATTATAAATTATTATGTAGTTATATTCAGCCCGATAAATCCAGTCTAATGAATTACGTACACTTAACACTTTTTGATGAAAGACTTGCACAATGAAGGTCTAACTTTGTGTAATAAATATCATGCCCAAAAAAAATTACATAATTAACGCTAGAAAGAAGTTTTGTGAACCCGCACGGTTAGGTACCACTACCCGGCTTATTTCTGCCGCGAAGCAGTAATGCTTTTCGATTTGAAAAGTGGGGCAGGCGTTTTACTATACAAACTGAGACTTAGAACGCACGTCTCAAGTTGGATGGAGGTGTTTACGTTGTTGATGTCCATGGGCATCAGTGACCACTCAACACCAGACGGGCCGTGAGCTTAGCAATAAACTAAAGAATACATAGTCAGCAGTACTTACATATCAGAGCAGGCATCGCGTTGATCGTACAGAGTTACGTTCTTCTCGGTGGCCATAAAGTACAGCGAGTATCCGAGCAGCTTGCGCATGTCGTCGGGACAGTACACATCCCAAGTCAGTACCACTGCGATTTGCGTTAACTCCGACACGCTCAGCTTCAGGACGTCCGGGAGACCTACGAAATGGACATTATTCTTGCTATTTCACTTTACAACCGCGCGACAGGCAATAGCAAATGTATTGCCACGTATGTATGTATGCATTATTATGGAATTTTAAGACCAAATATTTTTGTATGGGTATATGTATGGACAAGAAGTCTCGCTTCGGACCACTATTGTGCTGTGAAGTGTTCGCGCGTTTCGAAGTATCTGGCACGGCCCTTAATACACGGCACATAATGCCTATTTCTGCCGTGAAACAGTAATGCGTTTCAGTTTGAAGGGTGGGGCAGCCGTTGTAACTACATATGCTTTAGACCTTAGAACTATATCTCAAGGTGGGTGGCACATTTACGTCGTAGATGTCTATGGGCTCCAGTAACCACTTAACACCGGGTGGGCTGTGAGCTCGTCCACCCACCTAAGCAATAAAAAAATAAAAAATTACGTATGGAATTTTAAGACAAAATATTTTTGTAAGGGTGTGTTGACTGGAAGTCTCGCTTCGGACCAATATTCTACCGTGAAGTGGTCACGCGTTCCGAAGTGTGTCACGGCCCTTATGCAGCGGAACCTCGTTAACATATAAGATGGAGTTATGGTGTTTATTGACGGTCATTATTTAACACCACATGAGCGGTGGGCTTGACGGACAGCTTGTTTAATGAGTTCAATTGCATATCTAACTTAACACGTGTGATTTTAGGGCGGCGATTCGAGGTTACGGCCCATACAAAACTAATTCCTGTTTCAGTTCTAGGACCAATTCTATCACACCCTGTATCAATGATTGTTGTTCGATTGAGGTTTTGTTGTATTTCAAAACACCCAAACTACCTTTAAGATAGGCATGGCATCGACTCGAAAATTAAATTCACAGTACAACGACTATTGTATCGATTATATGTGAGTCGTCAACAACTCAATTATTTAGTACATATTTTGACACGAATTAATGTCGCGCTTATTATTTCCAATAATTCAAATACTTTACAGTTTTCTTGTTCGCGCCAGACGATGCCACTCATCATTTAAATATTTTTTCTAACTACCGTCTCATTTTTTTTTTTTAATATTTCGTACGTGGGTGTTTGTTCAATTTTTAATTAATTAGAACAATTAAACGCATACACATGTGCAGTTAGGACATAACGTATAAAACTTTTCTATAAAACTACCTCCATACGTACTTCTGAATTACTTACAAGATGCCTGATACCCGTTGCTGTCTTGGGACACTTCTAGTTCGGTAAAATTCGTTTTCGGATACGACATATTCATAAGCGGCATCAGTTGAGTGTAGCACAGCTTGGGATTCGAATGTATGTAGCAGCTACCGATTATCTCTATAGGTCCGTAAGTGGACCAGTCCCATAGCAGCTCTAGATTCTCGTTGTTTATTATATGCAGAGCTTCCCCTCTGTAACAAAATGATTAATTACTTTATTGTTGAAGTGAAACTTCTAATGCGACTTCCAACAAGGTTGCGTTAAACGTTTAACGCTACCATACTAGAAAGAGATAGAGCGAGAGTGAATGCGTGGCACCCGAACGCATGCGCGTAGCATACCTGTTACAGGCCAGCGCGAGCGTTAGCAACGAATAGCGATAATATATATTATTATTTATTTTTCTATCTATAATTTAAAATATATATAATATAAATGTTGAAGATCGCACCTCTTATACACAGCATTCCCTATTACAAGAGAAACCTGATTTAAGGATCATCGAAAGAAGTTTCACTTCATTAACGTGCACCAAGTTGGACGCGCACCGTTTTATATGTTAGTCTGAATGCGAGCTACGGAGTATCCCGAAAAATATATCACCGCTGATACTTGACCTACGTAGTACATACTTACAATAATATTACAAAGGGTTCTTTGACTCGATGTGGTGCTTTATTCACAAAACCTATTTATATGCAAAAATTGATAGATAATATGAATTCATGTTTAATTTCTAAAAGATTCGCGGCCGGCTATGATAATAAAAATATATTTAAAAAAAATCTTTATTTTCTCAAGAACTACTTAACGGTAAAAGTAGAGTAAGAGAGACAAATATTGACAAACAAAAGTATGAAACTGAAATTACAGACTCACTTATCTTCTGAAGGATTCGCGATAATTTTCCTGAGTTTCTTCAAAAACATCAACGACACTAAAGGATACGACCGCGTCACTTGCAGACATCCGTGGATCTCCCTTATTTCGCCCAGCGCTGATTCCAACAATGATAGCGTCTTACCTAAAATTATTATAATTTTTTTTTATTGCCTTTTTCAGGCAGACGAGCATACGGCCCACCTGACGGTACGTGGTCACCGTCGCTCATGGACGTCAGCAATGCCAGGGGCAGAGCCAAGCCGCTGCCTACCATAAAGTACTCTCCGCAAGCCTCGTTTGAAGAAGGACATGTCATAGCGCTCGGAAAACACCGTGGAGGGGAGTTCATTCCAAAGCCGGATGGTACGTGGCAAAAAAGATCTTTGGAAACGCACTGTCGATGAACGCAGCGGTTCCANCCTACCATAAAGTACTCTCCGCAAGCCTCGTTTGAAGAAGGACATGTCATAGCGCTCGGAAAACACCGTGGAGGGGAGTTCATTCCAAAGCCGGATGGTACGTGGCAAAAAAGATCTTTGGAAACGCACTGTCGATGAACGCAGCGGTTCCAGATAATATGGATGAACTCTGCTCCGATGGCGGGAGGTGCGATGATAAATAGGAATTAACGTCTTTACGTGTGTAATTTTATTGTCGAACAACATTTACAAATTACTGAAATAATCATTTGAGGTTATTACAACGAACACAGGTAGTGGAGCGAACAGTAAGCTCGCGCGGGTAGATACCACCATACTGCATGTTTCTATTACGATGCGTCTTTGCGTTTCGATTTGAAGGGTATGACAGTTATACAAGAAGACAACGAGGATGGCAGATTCGTGTTGTGATGTCCATGGGCTACGGTAACGAATTGATAAGAATCATGAAAAGTAGGCTGTTTACGCAAAGAAAAACAAATTAAACGGCATGTTGATATTGCAATAGAAAATATAACGGTTTTTTTTTTTTAAAGTTCGATATTTCGCTACAGACGTTATCATTCAAAACGTTCAACGAAATTCGTTAATATAATTCAAGCCATGAGTGGATGAAGGGGATATGAAACAATTTGTTAATTTTGTGAAAACGTGCAACAAACTTTTGTACTTTTATATAACTTAATTAACTTCTTCGTATATAACTCCTTCATCAGATGCAATTTCCAAAAATAGTCTTTAAGCCCGGAGTTTTAAGGTCTAATATGGTCTATAGCCTCATAACACCTTCATTCAATGTTAAAAGTCAAAATTCTTTCATCCCTCATGTCTTGAATTCGAAACAGTGCTATGGTCCAGTATAAACGTACCTCCGCTGGAGCGAAGCGTGAATTCCATTTTGCCCTTAATGTGCGTGCAGCCCCGGAACTGCTCCGCGGTGGCGACCGAGTCGATCTTCCCGCCGAGGCACTCGCGCACGCAGCCGGACCGCGGGCACGGCTGGCACGTCGCGTTAGTCTTGTTACCCACCTGCCGTTCAAACAGTCTCATTCTGGTCACCGTCCTCGTCGAACCTGTCGCTTGCAACGAAGGGCTCGACGAGCGAATTAACCCATAAACACAGCCCACTCAGCTTCGTGCCGAATTTTCTCAGTGGGTCGCGTTTCCGATTCGGTGGTAGATTCTGCGAAGCACTGCCCTTGCTAGGGTCAGTGTTAGCAACATTCCGGTTTGAACCCCGTGAGCTCACCTACACACGTTAGGGTGAAGCTGAAATAGCCTCTCAAGGCTATCGGCATAGGCAGGTAAAAAAAAGGCTCATTATTTGAGGCCGTCAGCGCAAAAGTGGCCTAAGCTTACCATAGTTATTATGGAGCAACGAGGTTTAAGTTTTCATTAATTTGAATTTGAATAGGCAAAAAAAACAATTCGCGCAAAATTATTTTTACACTTACAAAGCCATCTGCCATCTATGGGTGAAACTATGGATAGGCCGGTTTTGCATAAAAATTTATTATATTTTAAATAAGCGTTATTATGAAAAATTGTTATATTTTAAATAAGCATTATTATGACAAATTGTGGGTTAAGCCACCTTTACGCTGACGGCCTCATTTCTAAGACCGCGAATTACAGATTACGTTACATACTGAATTCTTTTTTTCGTCGTTTCTCTTATACACAGCATTCCCTATTACAAGAGAATTTTGAAAAAGATAAGTAAACCACAATACTACAATCCGCAAGAGAAGCTCCACTTCTTTCGCGTGCACCAATTTGGACGCGCACCATTTTTTTATTATTGACAAATTCATTGACAGTGTTACTAAATGAAGCATCAGTTCATGTTTATCCATATTCAACGTTAGTCAGTTTAACAAGTACTCACCTCCATGTAGCCACTCGGACACATGAACAGACAGCGGCTGTTGTCATTTTTTTATTATTGACAAATTCATTGACAGTGTTACTAAATGAAGCATCAGTTCATGTTTATCCATATTCAGCGTTAGTCAGTTTAACAAGTACTCACCTCCATGTAGCCACTCGGACACATGAACAGACAGCGGCTGCTGTTGAATGTCTTATAGGCGGGCACCTTGATCGCGAACCGGAAGTACGTGGAGTCCGCGGCGCCGACCGGCTGCGGCGGGGGGGACATCGAGCGACACTCCTGTTCCGTCACACATCTCCGGGACAACTGCAACGCAATCAGTTGTACACAAGCAATCGTGACGTCATCTTACCGAAACGTCTCAGCCGTGGCTTGATGTAGTCGAGAATTGCATAACATATCATATTGAGTCTGGCAAATTATTTGTGTGTTTAGTTGCTTGGGGACTAGCCATTCCAATGCAATAGAGACCCCAATCTCATGTCTCAAACCGAGCAGCAGGATTAACGTTGTAGTTCGCAGTACTTCAAACAGATTAAAACGAAACCATCCATTTAAGCCAATAAAAAACACATATAACCAACTGTAACTACGGGCGGCGCTAAGTAATCGAGAAGAATTTATTTGTTTACAAAAATGCTTTCAACGACTTTTTTTATTACCTAGATGGGTTGACGAGCTCACGGCCCACCTAGTGTTAAGTGGTTACCGGAGCCCATAGACATCTACAACGTAAATGCCGCCACCCACCTTGGGATAAGAGTTTTAAGGTCTCAGTATAGTTACAACGGCTGCCCCACCTTTCAATCCGAAACGCATTACTGCTTCACGGCAGAAACAGGCAGGGTGGTGGCGCCTACCCGTGCGGACTCAAAAGAGGTCATACCACCAGTAATAACATTATAGTAACAATATTACTTCGAAATCGATATTCGTTGGGCCATACCTCGTAAGTACCACCGGGGCAGGACTCCATACAAGTCATCTCGGACCCGTATTCAAACGAGAACTTCTTGCAGACGAAGCAATTGCTCGCGAGCGGTCCGTCGCATCCTCCGAGACAGGCGGAGTTGCAGCACGTGCCGTTCGACATACAGCCGTGGTCGCCGCAAGCGCTCGGACATACTGTTCAAACGATTAATTAATACGCTTTTGAGGAAGACTTAAACGACGGAGGGAAGATCCTCCACCGAGCGGATGATATTTGCTCGATAGACCGACGGTCCGAATGTTGTTGTTCAGAACTTGTATATATGCGAGCTTATCTTGAAAATGTCGTAAGCGAGATTCAGGCATCTGTCAAATATCTTGCACTGTATGATGGCTACCCGCCACACGCTTTAGTCACAACCAATTAAACCCTTTCATCGTTCGCTCTAATGCGTTCATTTGTTGAAACAATACGCACGCATGACGTCCCAGCGATAACCGAGCATTCTTTCATTTAAATAAGGAACAAAATTAAATATTCATCAACGTGTCCCTCATTCCATTGAGGTTGACTTCTTTTTTTTCTTTCTTTTTTTATTGCTTAGATGGGTGGACGAGCTCACAGCCCACCTGGTGTTAGTGGTTACTGGAGCCCTTGACATCTACAACGTAAATGCACCACCCATCTTGAGATATGAGTTCTAAGGTCTTAAGTATAATTACAACGGCTGCCCTACCCTTCGAACCGAAGCGCATAACTGCTTCACAGCAGAAATAAGCAGGGCGGTGGTACCTACCCACGCGGACTCACAAGAGGTTCTACCACCAGTAATTACGAAAATTATAATTTTGCGGGTTTGATTTTTATTACACGATGTTATTCCTTTACCGTGGAAGTCAATCGTGGAAGTCAATTGAGTACGTATTTCATTAGAAAAATTGGTACCCGCCTCGGATTCGAACACCGGTGCATCGCTTCAACACGAATGCACTGGACGTCTTATCCTTTATGCCATGACGACTTACTCTCTACTACTACTACTTCTCTCGCAAATATGTTACAAACAGTATAGGGGCAGACGCAAAAATAATCGGTGCATGTCATCTCTGGATCGTTCTTATCTTTAACCGTGGTTCAGTTTCAAAACCTGAATGAGACCCGAAATAGATGTTTCATTTTCAGATCCGTTATGTGATCCGCTTTAAGTTTAGAATTAGATAATTTTAACGTTTTGGCTCATAAACTATGCAATACATTTATTTTGCTCTTCATTATTACAAAATCAACGGTTGTATCACAATTAATGCGGAATCGTAGGGCTCCCATTGTACTCGTATCGTAAGATGTCCATAGACTTCCAGAGCCTCTCAACCCTCGATGAGTCGCTCATACAATAAGTCTACATCTATTACAATTTATTTAAAAATTAAAAATAAATATATTAATATTTTTGCAACGCTTCGTTCAACGACTAAACAGTTGTCTTGTTCATTGGTTTTCGAATCGTGAGAATCTAAAACAATAGATAATTATAAAATTACACACTCACTCTTTTGGCAGTGTTTCTCGTCCCAGCAAAGCAGCTTCCCTTTGGTGTCAGCGGGACATTGCGGCAACGATTGCCGATGGTCCTCCTCAACGCGACTCTGAGCGTTGGGGCACAAGCCGCACAGTCTGGTATCATAGTTAGACTGTAACAAACGTAAAATCGATTAAAACACTGAAATGCAAGATCAGGCCTTTATAAAACTCTGAATCATGCTCATTCAAGACAAAACTGGCAAAGTTATAATGGCCCATTCGAACATATTATGATGCCAAGCGGAACTAATGCGGAATAAATCCCACGGTCCGCGACCAAAACTAGTTTTTATTAAGGAACAGCAACAAATTTCGCGCGAGAACAGCAAAGCTGTCATACGTTCACACAGACATGCCATGCTGTCGCGTGCTGACGCGACCAAAACATCTTAACAGGCCGTCAATGCTCTATAAACATTTACAATTTTATTATATGGTTTTCGGAACCCATAGACTGCACAGTGTGAATGTCAAGGGGTGATTTTTTTCCTAATCTAATAGCTGGTAGCCTAAGGGGCTATTCCAACTATTCACTGACCGATAGCTGAGCTCAGGGGCTCAACCTGAGAAATTTGCTAACACTGGCCCTAGCAAGAGCAGTGCTTCGCAGAATTTACCACCGGATTGGAATCCCAACTGAGAAAACTAGGTGCTCAAATTGAGGCACAAGCATTTGAACAACGTCTTTTTATTGCATACCAATTCGTATAAACACATCACGAAAAACATGTAAACACGTATGTAATAACGGATAGTTAGATGGGAAAATGAAATGATACCTACTATGGACGATTTTTATTATTATTACTTAGATTGGTCGACGAACTTATAGCCCAGCCGGTGTTGAGTGGTTGTAGGAGCCCATAAACATCAAAAATGTAAATGCCGCCATCCGCATTGAGACATGAGTTCTAAGTCTCAGTTTTCCAGTACAACGGCTACCCCACACATCAAATCAAGACGCGTTACTGCTTCGCATCATTAGTTCCGGTTTGATGAGTGAGAAGGTATACAATACAATCTAGACTTCAACAATGTCTCCTGTAAGGCAGCTTCCACGTTTTGAGGTCTATGGACAAAGTAATCAAGAGAATTAGGGCAAAAAAACAAGTGCAATAAAAGTTCTATGAGCAAACAAATCAAGAGGACTAGGACAAAAAAACCAGTGCAATAAATAGTAACATACCCTGACGATGATTTCAGCATCATCGCGTGTGATTCGCGACCAGTCTATGGTGTTAGTATAGCAGAGTCGATCGTTGTGCTGAATACGGACGCCTCCTCGCTCGATCTTCATCAACGAATTCAGTCCAAGCGCCTGCGTTTATACAGATACACAATAACAAAATTATCCAATTATCTCGTTGGTCAAACGGCATTACACCAGCCCGTTAATCAAGTGATCGCAGATTCAAGACTAAAAACATCACACTGTCACTTTTGAAGTCACCATGTACTTATCACGTTTATTGTGCCTTTATGATGGCAGATCACCAGGATTCGGTCGAACGGGATTCGGGTTTAGTTGCCTTCTCTTCGTACGCTACTAAAATTAAAAATTATGTTTTACTCTGCCTTGTTTTATTAAATAAAAATGTAGCAAAATAAATATTTTAATTGTATTAAATAAGCAGACAGGCAGTCTCTTAAGGTCATTGACATTATGCAGTAAACGCTGCCGCTCACCTTGAGACAGTAGACTTAATAAAACAGTAATAAAAATAACTCAACCGATAGGAACGTTTAATTTTTTACAGAATAAATAAATTAGATGGTGTTACCGGCAAAGAAAATGTTGAAAGTTACAGTGTCGTAATTATAATTATTTTAAAAGTCCTTCTGGCCTTCTTTGAATTTGTTTTAATGCAAATTGCTAATTAGCTTTTGTTAACAAGATTTTTTAAATCGAAAAAAAAATGACATTAATTTATAACACGACACTACACAGATTCGGTTGTATACGAAAAAAAAAGGAAAAATAATTTTTAAAGTGTGAATGAATCTTATGCATAAACTTTATTATAGTTCGAAGTTCGATAAAAAATTCAAGTCTAGTATTGTTGGCGTATTCACTGACCTCTAGATGTTCATTGTCAAATATTACAAGAGCGAAATCCTTGAAGAGCTGCATCCCTCGCACCACGGTGAGGTTTGGGAACAGATCACCAAGATTGCGCAAGCCCTTAGTTCTGAAACAAAATCATATTTATGCATATAGAAATAAAATACATTTACACTGTAACGAAGACATTCAGAATTTGAGATTTTTATACTAAACAGAAATAATTCAGAGCCTTCCCTTTAGAGGTTTAAAATCACAGGTCGTGTCTAATCTTATCGCGAAATTCCTGTTGCCCTTAGCAGAAAAATTAAAATAGCTACGCTTATAGCCGATCTCCAGTAGCAGGTAGCATCTCCAGATGAAAATTACTTGTACTGCCGATTGTGTGTATCAGCAGAAGATTTGAAGCAGAGAAGAAGGTTGTAGGTATACGTATTGAATGATACGGAGCCGT